GTTTTGAATTGGTTGTTTTTCAAACAGCTTTTGAGTGTTGATTTATTGAACCTGGTAGGGAGGAAGGAGTGAGAGGGAGTGTTAGATTCCTGCAGAGTCCAATCATCCCACCTAACTTTTCATAGCTCCTAATACAGGACCCACCTGGTAGGAAATTGTGCCTAGGGCACTATATTTCTCACTTTAAGTTGCTGAATAGAAAGAGAACATAGCAAAAAGGGCTGAACAGAAATAAAAATGACTATGTTTGTATTTACCTGTACATGCAGAGAGCTTCCTATACTCTGTTATGTCCAGCCAGTACCTCTTGACCATGGAGCTCAGAATGTAGTCCTTATGCAAATCCACCATATACTGTGGAAGGAAGCAAATTTGAAGATCTCAGCCAGGGAGCTGGTACTTCCTCCCTGCATTAACACCTGTTTAGATTAATCCTCACCTCTACAGCCTCTTTTGGTTTGTCCTTCTCACTTCCACCTTGATTCCTGCTGCCCAGTAAGGCACTTATTGTTTCTTGATTTGTTCAGGAGACAACATCAATACTCAGTCCTCTCAAATCTTCATTGCTTTCACCTCCTCAAACATCCAGTATGCATATTGGGGCCACATGCAATCATCCCTCTCCCTCCTGCAAGCAGCACCTGTTAATAAAGGCCACTCCTCAGCCTTCACTAAATGTTAAAAAAATCACTAGTCCACACTAAGGCAAAATGTTGCCTCACACTTGGTAAGGGACTGTTCATATTGCATCATGAAGCCATACCATATATTGAAACTTGCATTACATACAAGCATGCACATCTGCCTATATGCTTTGTGTATGCAAAGATATCCATGCATTACTGGCTCTTGCTTGAGACTGTCCTTGGCAGTAATTAACCACGTGGAAACAGTGGGATTTGGTGTGACAGAATCCTGAAGAAATCTTTGAGGTACACTGTAAAGACTTCTTGTATGTGAGACATGACAACAGGCGGTACATATTTCATAAAACCCTTTATAAAGGGGGTTTTCCTCAGGAGCCTGGGAAAGAAAGTAGTCAGTACTTCCTCTTCTCATCGAGACTGACTAGATATAATTCACATGCTTGTTTGCCTAACCCAGTGCATTACAGACACTCTCAATCCAGAGATTTCTTGAGTGAACAACTACAGCAAGTGAACTGAATGCAGAATAGAGATCTATTTTATAGAAAGATATAGAAAATGGGTGCTAAGCATTCCAGACACAAAGGGTCTGGTTTTCTTCTACTCTGTACCTGCCAGTTGTCTCACTTACAGAGACACTTGTGCACAGCTGGCTCCCAGGTCACTCTCTCTCTCCAGTTACTAGCAACAGCAAGGGCCCCTATGATCCCATGGTCCCACTCCAGTGGCTGGCCTCTCAGACTTACATAAACACAGAAAAGAGCCCTGCATCCAGGAAATAAAAAATGGAGTTTAATGAGAGGACAAGACAGATTGATGATGCAGTAGAGGGCATGGCCAGAAAAGCCATCTCTTTACGTGCAACTGCCCCCTTTTAGCCCCTTATCTCTCTATTTTCCCAAGATCTTTTCCCCCAAATAACCTCTATCACTCCTTTTCCCTACTTGTTGTTCCTTCCCTAAACATCCTATGATAAGTTTTGCACAATTTCAAAATGCTCTTTCCCTGCAACCCATAACGTGTCCTGTACTCCAAGGTAGTGACCCCTCAACCTGAGGTGCTACAGAGACACACTTCCATGTTGAAGACAACGTCTTCTCTCTGTATAACGAAGCTGACCTGGATCCTGACAAAATGACTGCAGGAAATGGAAGCCTCTGTGCCTTACAGATCTTCTGCCAGAATAGTGTCATCCTGACACCCAAGATGCTGTATCCATGTTCTCAACTGCTCTGGAGCTCTTAGATCTTGCTTGCATCTTACACACAGTGACAGCTTGCTTTGCATTCCTTGGTAACCGTGTGGAGGGAAAAAATGCTAAAGACCCACATAAGAAAAAAAATACCCAATATGAAGAAATGCACTGTGGTTCTAACCCACTTACCCCTAAATTCAATACACCAGCATTGTTCAAAATCTGTTTATGAGAGCATTAGCTGTTATAAACTTGTTGCCAGCTTCCTTCACACTGTTTTTACTTTTCCATTCAAACAGTTGCCTTGGGAATCCTTGCACTGCATTGAGGCCCCTTGCTGGACAATGTCTAAACCCAGAGCAGCAACTATACCCTTCTGAACTGAGACTTTGTTCAGATGGAACATTACTGATTAATCACCAATTCAGCACAAGAATACTTTAACTGAAAGACAAACCTGCTTCAGAAAACCTGGCATTATACACAGCATTTTGTGTTCCAATATATACACACATGGTGCTGTGATGTACAGTTTCTAAAGCTGAGCATTTGCCTGGAAATCATATCCCTGAGATGTGAGGGATGCATGTTTCAGGAGTTTTCCTATCTTGAAACAACTTTCAGCTAGATATGTATATCCTGGACACAATGTCTCCTGTAAAAATAACCTCTCTGTACAACAGTGGGGCAAGCAGGAGAAGGAAAAAAAGCCTATAGTCTGTGACTAAAAAATTTTTCTAGCAGTGACTGGAGATAAGTTATCATCTCTGCTTCATCTGGAAACTGAAAATAACTATGTGTCCCTAACCAAACACATTTTTATAACACAATAATGTCACGCTTGATTTCAAGATTTTTAGAAAGTCTTGAAATGTATTCTAAAACTCACTGCCAGGCAAATTCTTTGAAATGAATTCTCTTAACCAATGGCAATGTGCTGTTTTATCCTACCAAATTCATTTGGATATTAGTGTAAAGTTGATATGATGAAGTTTTATTAAAAAAAATCTCCATTATTTACAGAAGTTGCTATTCAAGTGATATTCCTTGTTTAATCTAAGTAATCACAGCTCTTAGGGTGAAATTGGGAAGCAATATGATACATCTGCTAAAAAAGAAATAGATGAGACTATACACATGTAAGAACTTTACAAATTAATAGCATACTTGCATGTCTTACACAAAGACAATGCTCCCTAGGAACAGATTAGAAATCAGATTCAAATCACCATGGGTTTGTACATGAACATAATGAACACTGAGTATATTCTTTGAGAAATAATCATAACACCCTCTTGCCAAAAAATAGCAACACTTTTTAAAATTATTTCCTACATAACACAGCCCCTTTTCCATGTGCAGATCAGATCATCTCCTGTTTAAATACCACAGTCGTGACTACAAAATACCACAGTCAGCCAATACTAAAACCACTTATGTGCTGTATATGTTCAAAATAAATAACAAAAATATGAAAGCACTTGCAAAAACAGATTGTACACATTAGCCTAGGGCAGCAGAGGCTTGCACAATGAGAATCTTACCTTGATACTGTGATTCAATTTGCAGGGGCCTGTTTTGCCCAGGAATCACACGTGCCTCATCAGTTATCTGACATAAAAGAATCACAAACCATTTTCTGAAAGATATATAAACACCCTAATATGTCATGCCAGTAATACCAACCATGGCAATAAATATTATCTCCAATTTATCTCAATTTTTTCTCCCAGATACGTTTAATTTATTTTTTTAATTATAAGACAGAAAAGCAGGTGAGGGAGATGATAATAGTTCTTTACATCACATGTAGTGTACTATAGTCCATATCCCCCTCTGGAACTTTCTTCCCTGAAGCTGAAAGAGAAGGGAGGTGATTAGCAAAGTACTGGAGTCTCTGGAAAGGAGAAGACAAGAGGAAAGATGGGAAATGATCATATGTGATCTGTATCAAATTACATGCTTGGGGGAAGCAAGGTAACCTTATTCAAAGACCAAAAGGGTTTTCTAAAATAAACTATTACAAATTGCCTGGAACATAGTTCAGAAATCTTTTTTTTTTTTTTCCTATTGGTGGTACACAACAGCCTTAGATAAATTACTTTTCTTTGCATTCTGACTCTAAAATACCATAGAATAAGACAGAATAGACTACTTTCAGTTTGAAAGGAACTACAATGATCATCTAGTCTGTCTGACCACTTCTGGGCTGATCAAAAGTTAAAGCATGTAATTAAGGGCATCAAAACTGAGACATTAACACTTTCTTCCTTCTGCACTTTCTCTTGGCTATTCACTATTCAAAGTACTTGTAGCAAAACCTTTTTGTCTCTCTTCACATGCATGTGTAGAGGATTTACCATAATGAGGCCCTAATATTGACTAATGCCTTCTGCTGTCATTGTAATACCAACTGACTGAACACCACCACTGACTTCAAAAGAAATTCTGCTATTTCAGTGAATGTCTATAAGACTTAACTTACAGATCTAGTAAACAATCAGAATAATATTTAACAATCCTTCTGAGACATGGTAATGCTTAATTAAATTGACAGAATACTTTTAGTCCCTACAATAAATGAAGCATGTGAGTTTCCAGAGTATTAGCAGCAGCAGTATATCTAGCAGAAGTTGACTAAAATATATTAAAAAAAATAGCATTATATTTGGAAATTTGATGCCTTCAGGATGGTTCGATATCCAGTAACCCACATACTTTTATCAATGACTATAAAGGAAAGGAGCGCTTACGAACAATATTTCATTCATTCCTCTTGCTATTCAATTAGATGTCGTCAATATGTTAAGTGTTTTTCAGTAAGAACATAAGACACCAGCAGGATTGGCTTTCAACAGCATTAATCAATAATGCACTAGCACAGTGGATGATAATAAAAAGGCAGAAGCTACTAGTGGTTAGCAATGTGCTCTCTGAGATACTGGTATCTCATGTGAGATACTGTGCAGTGATGGTAACTCTTCTACACCACAGCCAGGTAAGTATGACTCCAACAGGACACTTCTCAAGGCCTTTTATCATTTCTCCCCCAACTACTACAGCACAATAGAGTTGACTGTATAGTTGACACTACAGAGTTGCAAACTGACTTGTACTTTCAGGCATTATATGTACCAATTTAAATCGGTATTATTTATCTGTGTCATTCCTCACTCCAGAATGCCAATTAGGCCTTGGACACACAATCATACTAATCCAAGAACAAATTTTTTCTGCAAATAAAAGTAAAAGCCCCAAAGTACAAGGCAAATTCTAGCTGTGAAGCTGATCTGCTTCAAACAAAAAGCTTTACCTATGAGGATGTTCCTTCAAACAAGAAGTTACAACAACAAAATTGCATCTTGTTATTATCTAAAGCCCTGACTTTTTTTTTTTTTTGCTTGTTTACAAAGATGTTCCCCAAATTAGACCAACTGTGCAAACAGTAAGACAAAAGAAAGACTTTCTTCTGCTGCCAATCATTCTTACCCCTATTATCTCTGTCATCACAATCCCTCCTTCCCCTCCAGATACCCCTGTTCTGGGGTATCTGGATACCCCTGAATCTGCAGCTATAATCTATATATCTAGATTGAAGATGAAGATGAAGAAGATAAGTCTATAATCTAGAGTTATAGAGTTATTTTCTTCACACCAAAGGGCTCAACCCTGACCCCAGCACTGGTGTCAGCTGCCTGCCTGAGGGAATCATGAGCTACTACAGCTGGGACAAGCAAGGTCCTCAGTAAAGCTCAAAATAGGTCATTGCAGCTATTTATTCTCCCTATAAGTTAACCCACCTCAGTATCTGAATATTAACAGCTAAAAGGAGTCATCACTAGAAGGTATCTCAAGTGCCAGCAGAAACACTAACCAGAGGATGTGAAGAGAATGCCTGAAAGTACCAAGTGAAAGAGCTACCACATACTCTGGCAGTGAACAAGGATGCCAGCTGCAACTCCCAAGGAGATCCTGGGAGTAATAAGAGAAAATATCGAGTTGAAGCAGTAGCTTGCAAAATCCTAGGCAAAAAATAATGACAAAACAGACAGCCTTCTTCACGACTATAAAGAAAGTAGCATCTGCCATCCTTGTGTGCCATATCTCTTCATTACTGTTGGTGCAATTCTATTTGCTTGTGCTTCAAGTTTTGCTTTTCATAGCATAGCCTTCTCCTGCCCTTTGGTCTTATGCCTTTTATCAGACAAAACACAGTGCCTGTTAAAGAAAAGTAAATTGGCCTATTTATTTTTCTTTCCTTTTGATCATTTTTCACTGACGTTTCCATCAGGAAGGATTCCAACACCTCTTCTGGGCAGGACCAAATCTGCAGTATATTCTTTCTCCATTTCTGTGATTGGTTTGAAGGCCCTGGTGCCAAAAGACTGCTCTGTGGTACAATGAACAACCTACTTCAAAGAATAACCATGCAATATAAGTTACAGAGCAGAAATATATTGATTTTTTCTTTTAGTGCAATCTACATTATATCTGGCAGCAGACAGCATGTTAGTCACCTCTGAACAGAGCCCTTTGACCATGTGCTATTCCTTTTACATGATGATCATGTGCCACAGAGCAAATGAAACAAAAGTGGAATGGGGTCAAATGGGCATCTCTGCAGAGTATTAAGATAAAGGACTTTATAATTAAAACTGGAATATCTAGTCATCTTAACAAGGACTAAAGATTAGGATCAGTGCTTTTACAGGAAGATTAATTATACTTTGAGAAGTAGGGAATCTATCAGAAGAAAAAGCCTGCTCTGTGAAAGCAATTTAGCAAATGCAATTTCAGCTGTGACTGTAAGAATGATTCTATGATGTACTAGTAAATGCCAGTTACTTGAAGCTTATTATTTATTCTGTGCATAACAGAATTGTCTTAGAGCAACTGAAAACAAGAATTCATTTGCTCTGTAATTTTGTAGTTGTAGGTACGTGACCCATTAGCAATGTCATTTTTCCTGCCAATAGTTCATAACATTCCCTAAAATTATTATCTGAAGGGATAATGATGCCAAACTTCTATAGCTATTATCGGTTTCTTCTGTTAAAAAAAATCCCAACAACCACCCAACAACAACAACAACAAAACAACAACAAAACAAAACAAAAAACAAAAATGAAAAAGAAAATCAAAAAACCCCATACACAAATAGGAAAAATGGAAAAGAGTTTGTTCTTCTGCAAACAGAAACATGCACAGTTATTTTTTATACTAACACATTAAGTAGGAATATAGTCATTAAGATTGCTATGGCATTTTGCATATTTTAGCAAAAATTGCTGGGGAAAATATGCACTTTCTCATACAAAGGAGCTCTTCGAGTGAAGTTATTTTTTTAATGTTTCCCATGATAGCAGCAGTTGCTATCATAACAAACAAAATTTAGAGCAGGTGTTTGTTAACACTGAGTTTCTAAAGATAAATAAAAAGCACTTTGAGACTTCACACTACAGATTTGTTTCTAATGCACAGTAACTTATATTCTAACAACCATTTTCAAACTGTTACCCTTTTATAATATTTTCCAGTTTTTTCATTGCAAACCCATCATTTGATATAATAATGTATGTGAAACACGTCTCACCTTAGGTTGCAGCTAGTCATGTATAAGGTGAGCAAGGCTGGACAAAGTCTTGCTACTTTTCTCCAACTACCAGACAAAATCTGTGTCCTTGCATTGCTGATAATGGACCCTAGAGTCTCTACAGATTCAGAAAAACAAAGCAGAGGTGAAGGGCTGTTTGTGTTTTTCCTGAACACATAAAGAGAAATCAATCATGTTTAGCCGGCTTGGGTGTGTATAAACTATGGGCAAGCTAAAGGGTTAGGCTCCTTTTCTGAAGTAACATTCTGGGCATGTAGGTGAAAATCAGAGAGATTTAAAACTTTATGTCCCAGAAAGTGTGAGAAACATAAAGTAAATTAAATGAGGGGGATTTGGGGGTGCTTAGTTCTCTTCTGGAGTATGTACTTCGATTCTTCTTCTTCAGCATGTACCACTTCATTATTCCCTACCTCAGATGCTATGTTTTTCTTGGGCAGCAACCAAGGGATGCAATTGCTTGGCTGACAGATATTACCAATTCTGGGGGGTTTGTTCCAAGGAACTCCTTACAACTCCTTACTCTCACAGTCAGGTGATTATATTAGATTTTCAGCTTTCAAGGAAGCCTGAGTAGTAGGTCTCACACATTTCTCCCTCTTATCTGACAGGGACATGACTTGACATGCCATGGCACAGCAGTACTGGTCGAGCCTCACTTCTTACAAGAATGTCACAAGGCCATTTCACCCTTCAGCATGGCTGGCTCTATAAAACAAGGGTGCTTCTTAATAACCAAGGAAAGCAAAGCCACCAGAAGCTATTGTGGTTTGGGAGAGGCAATATACAGTGAAGCAGCAACACAACGTTTACTTATCCATTCCACCAGCTGTAGGCTAGGTGGTAACAACTGTACACACAAAAACGGCTTGCACATACACCTTACAACTGTCATTGCAGGGTTTTCTTCCTGCCCTGGCAGACTTTTAAGGAAGCAGGAAAGTGTGCAGACACTCCAGGGCATGATTAATTGGTTACGTATTCTGCAGAAAGCATAACATACAGCTACCATTTGCCATAGCAACCTCAATGTATGGAGAATCTACTGCGGAAATAAACTGATTTTAATTACAGGACTAAATATAATTAGCAAGTAAGCTATATCTAAACAATGCAAGAGAAAGGGAAAGCCTATTTACAAAGGTGTTTTGTTTCCTCGATTGAGAGCTTAATGGGCATTATGTTCATATTCAGCTACTCTGTGTGTCCCCAAGAGCAGCTCTGCAGCAATGGAGGGGAAGGAACAGGCAAAGGGCTGCCTGCTACAGGTTTCTGATCCTAAATGCTATAATGCCAATGTTATATTGACAACTATGGCCAAAAATAAAATGCATCTAGCCTAATGTTAGGTGTGAACCTGTGAAATATCTGTGTCTGAGTTAGTCACACTGGACTCACTTTGCAAGCATTGGAGAAAAAAGGGACATCTTTAGTGGGAAACGCATCTCATCCTCCGGTAGAAAACTAATTATGTTTCTATGTGAGGAAGGCCGAGGTGCCACGCTCAGGCTGAAGGCAGCCAGGGCCGCTCGCCCCTTTCCCCTCAGCCCCGCGGGGCTCCGCGGCGCTCGGCAGCGCAGGGCGCCCCCTGCTGGCCAAGGGCCCCCCCGCAGCTTCAGGCGCTTCCCTCAAGGATCCATCGTGCGCTCTCTGCAAGGGACACGCTTCCACAACATTATGCAAATCGCGCCCCCAGTTTGTAACTCGGTCTACCAAGCCTTGCTACTGAGCGGGAGGTGCAGGTAATTTTTTTTTTTCCAAAAAGACACAGGGATTAAATTAAATTCAAGTTTTCCAGTTCCTATGTGGGAGATTGTTTTGAGTAAGAGCAGTGGTGGTTTCAAACAGAGGACTGAATCTCAGTCAGGACTATGAGAAGAAGGGCATAGCTGCTTGCCTTCAGGAAAAGGCAGAGAGAGCCTAATAGCAGACAAGTCAGGAATTCTCTTTTTAAAAAGAGTTCCTTTATACTGAGTGTGCTAACTCTATACTCAGAATGTTGTTAAGCATCAGGTTTGGCAAAGCCTGGCACCTGACTTCAGGAGTCCAGCCTTACTCTTTGGGTTTTAATCCTCCTTTATGAAATTTTAAAAAAACAACCAACCAAACAAACAGAAAAAACCCACAACTCCTTCTCTTATTTTCAGGGACACTACGACACTGTCAATATAAACCGACAGATTAGAGATTCTCAGGATCGGATACTGAGGTAACGTTGTAGTGCAAGTATTTTAAGATTTCAGCCTACATCCTTGTATCCCAATGATCTCATTTTCTTGGCCTTTGAGAATGTCTCTTTACAGGGAGAAGGAAGAGTATGAAAAGGAAAACATCAAACCACACACACAAAAAACCTTCAGCCTCTTACATGTACATGTAAGATACAATAATTATTCCAGTCCTGGTGTAATGGCTAGTGGTAGTAGTGAAGCTTTTATAATAAAAGCTGAAGAGTATAGGCATTACATAATGCCCAATTACAAAAGTATTTTATGTTCTCTGATATCTCTTGTCATGTTTTTCATACAGGTTGAGCCATTAGACAAATTCTTGAGAGACTGCTTTGGTGTGGTTACCTTGAGAGGTGCCAGGAAACATGTAATAATTTTTTTTTTCCTGGCTAATTTGCCTTAAAAGACTTCATTTTGCTTTCCCTGTAGTTTTGATGGCTATAGTGTGCAATAAAACAACTGGCACACTAGAAGGAGAATAAACAATAGCATTCTACTGTCCAGAAAATGTATTTCCTTCAGGAATCAAACCGTGGGCTAGACACCAAGTCCCAGTTTGAACCTCTTGCAATTTGTCCCTGGAGTCTTTATTGAAATAAAAGGAAGTTGCACTAGTACTGACAGTGACAATCTAAATTCTAAGTAGGCTCTTAATAGTAAAATAAAGACCACAAAACATTTCTAGTTGAAAGGCAGACACATGGAAGTCAGAGAATGCGGCCTCATTTGTGTCTGCGTGTGAGATGTGTGATCTGAGACCTTTTTTTATAGCGTTCTATCAGTTAAAGAGAACAAAGGAGTGTACCTCATCTGAGTCAAGTAATTCGGTGTTTCTTGTACAAAACTGGGATTAGAAAACTTTGAATTTTTATTTTGTCTTAAACACCTGATTATACCTTCCAGGTATTGAAAAATGCATTCTTAATATTTCAATGAATGAAGATTTGTGAAATTCACTGGTGAAAGCCTGGAAACCAATATAACAACAATAAGACAAATCTGAGTGTTAATTTCCTCCCATTTTTTTTCAAAGTGCTAATTGTGAGAGCTTTGTCTTATGAGTATCTACTCAGTGCTTCATCACATCTAAGCTCCTGATTCTACACAGACCTAATGTTATGTTAGACCATTTTATAAAGCCCATCAAAATCACTAACTCTACTGACAGATAGAAAAACTTTAGAGAGATTATGTTTTCTCAGTCTTGTCCAAAACCTGACAAAAATGGGAATTCCATATTCTAAGTCCCAAGCTAATTTTCTGTCTATTGAAGGTCATGAACTTATAATAATTTTTTTTAATCAAGAATTCATGTAACATTTCATTTCACAATATACTGGACTGGAATTGGCCTGCTGTCTGTTTTTATACTTTGAAAGAATGTTTCCTATACAGTGTTAACATCTAAAAAGGCTTGACCAGCATTGCTTAAACATATACCTATTGCTTAAACGACAGCATTGATCTCATGCTTTGAAAAGCCAGGTAGATAGACTGTTGTAAGAAGTTGTACCTGTGTGAGACTTATGGTCTCTCCAACAGACTGCTCAATTATTAAATACCATTAGGGGACACATTCATGGCTTTGAATATATTGCAATGCAGAGAATGTCTGCATGTACAACATATTGCAGTACGATTCTGAAAGTGTTTTGCATACTAACAATGATTACATTAACTCCCACAGGCAAAGACAGCTAAAGCATTTGGAATAGTTTTGTAGCTTAACTTTGCTTCTGTCACTGAACGTGAGCTTAGTTTCCCTAAGATATTTCTTCTTTTGTGAAGTACCAGTTCACCTTCCCACAGTCCTGAAAACTGCCAGTGTCTACATTGAATCCAGCAGATTCCATACACTCTATGTCACAGGACTCTTAAGGATACCAAGGAAATACTGTGAGCATGATGCACACTGACCAGAAAGTGTGGTAGCTGGTAATAATCATGCTAGTGACAGGTGAAGTTAAACAAAGTTAAACAAAAATTAAAACCCATGAGTCCCTTCAGGGCATTCTTATTTGCCATTCCCATATCTATAGAAAGGAGATTTGTGCAAGCATAAAATCCAAACTTCAGCATAAGAATCACCACTTACTTAACACTGCAGATTTTTTTAAAGATATGCATAGTTTTGCTTTGATTGCAGAGCTTGACCACTCTTTAAAGCACCTGCAGACCACAGTGTGGGCCCAGGCAAGCCCACAAGTGAGCAGGGGATCCACACACAACAAAACCACCTTCCCCAACCCTTGTCTTTCCCACATCCCCCCATCCAGCATTTCCTACAGAAAGCATCTCTGCATGGGACTTAGCAGCCCTGCAAGGCTGGCCCTGGACACCCACTCCACAGCCCTGCTGCGAGGCTCTCCGAGTGGGCTGGTTTTGGCTGGGGTAGTTAATTTTCTTCACAGGGGCTGTGATGGGGCTGTGTTTTGGATTTGTGCTGAACACAGGTTGATAATATAGAGGTGTTTTTGTTATTGCTGCACAGAGATAAAACAGAACCAAGGCCTTTTATGCTTTATGTACTGCCACACTGGTAAGGAAGTTGGGGGTGCATGGGAGGTTTGGGAGGAGACACAGCTGGGACAGGTGACAATATGACCAAAGGGATATTCCATACCATATGACATAATGCTTAGTATAGAAAGGGGGGGGGGGGGGGGGGGGGGGGGGGGGGGGGGAAGAAGGAGGAAGGGGGAGATGTTTGAAGTGACGGTGTTTGTCTTCCCAAGTCAATGTGATAGGGCCCTGCTCTCACTGAGATGGCTGATCACCTGTTTGTTCATGGGAGGTGGTGAATTAATTTCTTGGTTTGTTCCATTTGCATGTACAACTTTTGCATTCCCTGTTAAACCATCTTTATCTCAACCCAAAAGTTTTCCAGCTTTTACCGTTCCAATTCTCCCCCCCGATCCCACTGGTGGGGGAGTGAGCGAGGAGCTGTGTGGGGCTTGGTGGCTGCCTGGGGTTAAACCACAACACTGGGGCAGTGTGGAGGGGCAGCAGTCAGGCCTCCTATCTGCCCATCTCACACCGGCAACCCACAGGGAACCAAGGGAGGATTCACATGATTCCCATATTAGCAAGAATTATAGAAAGTTTAAGGGTTGGAAGGGATCTTAAAGATCATTTAGTCCCAACTCACCCTGCCACAGGCAGGGACACCTCCCACTAGACTGGTTGCTCAAGGCCCTGTCCAACCTGTTCTTGAACACTGCCAGGGTTGGAGCATCCACAACCTGCCTGGGCAATCTCTTCCAGTATCTCACCACCCTCAGAGTAAAGAGTTTCTTCCTAATGTCTAGGCTAAATTTCCCCTCTTTCAGTTTGTACCGATTACTCCTTGTCCTATCGCTACAGTTCCTGACGAAGAGTCCCTGCGCAGCTTCCCTGCGCAGCTTCCCTGCAGGCCCCCTTCAGGTACTGGAAGGTTGCTATGAGGTCTTCACACAACTTTCTCTTCTCCAGGCTGAACAGCCTCAACTTCCTCAGCCTGCTTTTACAGAGGAGGTACTCAAGTCCGCTTATCAACTACATGGCCCTCCTCCAGACTTGCTCCAACAGTTCCATGCCCTCCTTATCTTGGAAGCCCCAGAGCTGGTTGTGGTACTCCAGGTGGGGTCTACCCAGAGCAGAATAGAGGGGGAAAATCACCTGCTTTGACCAGCTGGCCACACTGCTTTTGGTGCAATCCAGGACTGGGTTGGCTTTCTGGGCTGAGTACACACTGCTGGCTCATGCTGAGTTTTCAGCAACCATCACCCCCAAGCCTTTCTCTGCAGGGCTTGTCTCAGCCACTTCTCTGCCCAGCCTGTAGGTGTGTTTGGGATTGCCATGACCCAAGTGCAGGACCTTGCACATGGTGTTATTGAATTTCATGAAGTTCACAGGGCCCCACCTCTCAAGCCTATCTAAGGCCCCTCTGGATGGGGCATCCCTTCCCACCAGCATGTCAACTGCACCACACAGCTTGGTGTCACCAGCAGATTTGCTCGGAGTGGACTCGATCCCACAGTCCACGTCGCCAACAAATATGCTGAAGTGTAGAGCCCAGCAGTGGCCCCTGAGGGACACTACTCGTCAATGCTCTTCAAGTGGACAATGAGCCGGCGACCACAAACGCTGCACCCAGGCAGCGAGGCCCCCGGCTGGACAGGAGAACGGCCCTCCCGCTCCACGCCAAACTAGCCAAGCTACCGTCCCTCGGCCAAGCCCCTCCGCGGTGCCTGCGGGGCTGTGTGAGGGGCCGGCGGGGCTGTGAGGGCTGTGCGAGGGGCTGTGAGGGCTGTGTGAGGGGCCGGCGGGGCTGTGTGAGGAGCCGGCGGGGCGGTGAGGGCTGTGTGAGGGGCCGGCGGGGCGGTGAGGGCTGTGCGAGGGGCTGTGAGGGCTGTGTGAGGGGCTATTAGGGCTGTGCAAGCGGCCAGAGGGTCGCCCCCCCCGGGCGGTGCCAGGTGCCGCGCGGGGGGCACGGTAACCGCCTCCGCCCCTCCCGCCGCGCGCCCTTGGTACCGCCCGCCGGCGCCGCCCGGCCTTCTCGTGTTTCCCCGCGCATGCGCGGCCGCTCTCCCCGTGCGCGAGGCTTGGTCCGGCCCCGCCCGGCCGCCGCGCTATGCGGCTGCGCCGCGGCTCGCGCGTCAGCATCGCGCGCCCCGGGTGCGCGCGGGATCGATCCGCGTGCGGCCGCCGCCATGACCTCCGCGCTGGAGAACTACATCAACCGCATCCCAGCGGCGGGACGGGACGGGACGGGACCCCGGGGGCGCGGGGCCCTGAGGGCGGGGCTGGGGCGGTGGCGCGGTTGCGTGTTTGGGCCCTTCGCGGCTGGCGGTGCCGATTTGTCCGTGCGGGAGATGGGCTCGGCAGGCAGAGCGGAGGGTACGGGAGATTTCCCGGAGAGCAGGGTCCCCCCCCAGCGCCCAAGGCTGCGGAGCGCAGCGCTGGGCGGTCCGCGGTGGAAGCGAGACCCGCGGTGGGCCTGACCCGCTGAGAGCGCCTAACGCGCCTTTAGTTACCGGCTTTGCATCACTTGTTCAAAAGCCGGGTCTTGGGGTTCTTGGAACGCTTTTCGTGCTGATTTTTCTTTGTGCTTCTTGCAACCCGTGGGCACTTTCAGTTTTATTCACAAACAGTAAGATAGTAACCCGGAATTATTCAGGACGACGGATATGTTGCCATCGGATTGGCATAACGAGATATTATGGAGATGGAGAATGCTAGGCTCGGGATCACCACTGCAAAGCTGTTTTTAAGGACCTAAAGTGTTTATAAAACTGTTTATGTTGTTGCAGTTTTGAGGCAGTGCAGCTAGTAATGGGAAAAGAGGTGAACTCAAATCTTTATTCTGCTTTAATGGTGTTCATGTTCGGGTATGACTGTCCATGGTTAGGTGAAGTGAAACTTTAAAGAATTTCATAAAAATACTATGTTGTCAATTGGTGCTATCAACCATGCTGCTTTTAAAAAAATGCTGATAGGCTTTTCTAGCTCCTGATGGCTCTTAAAGCCTATATGACATATGAATGTCTCAGAAAATCGTAATTTCAGATATTATTAAACATTTCCTTAATGAACTACCAGGTACTGTTGCAGTAATTACTTCTGATGGAAGAATGATTGTGGTAAGACTTGAATTTTTTAACGTTTTATTTTCCCCAATAAAGACTTTCCATCATGGCAGTAAAGAAGCTGTGTTAGGGTATTCTCACATATTCACACCTTTAAATCGTAGAGTACAGAATAATGGCCATAAGGTTTTAAAAATAAAAAAAAAGTTGTAAATGCTTACTGGTTCTTGCATGTCAGCTTTGTCCATTGATAAATTTGTGTCTGCACATGCTTTGACTTTTTTGTCAAATTAATTTTTCTGTGGGAATGCACAAGAAAATGCATTTCTCTTCAGTAATTTGGTTTCCATGTAAAACGTCCTAGATACTAGGGAAACTTTACTTCTTTTAATACTAAAGCTTATTTTAGCCTTCAGCATGAACTCTCAGTAATAAATGTGTACTTTTCTTAAATTGATTATTGCTTTGAAAATTACTTTCTTTAGCTATTAGTGTTTAAGCCAAATAATAAAACCTAAATAGAACATATGTTCTCTAGTACCTTAGTTTTGCTACCTTGTTTAAGGTATCTTTGAGAGCAAAGATGATAAATTTAAGAGT